ATATATATATATATATAAATTAAGGAACGGCTGAAACTCGAAGTGTCAAACTGCACTCTGCATGTTTGTAACATCGGATCTGAAGCAAAAGAAGTGTTGAACTGAGCCATCGGTTGAGAAGATATTTAGTTCTTTATAAAACATGAATTACAACAAACATGGTTCAAAACAGGAAAAAAAAGTTTCAATAATTTAAGGATTGTTCAAAGAGGATGCATCTTTTTTTATACCCATTTTCTGCTCACACAGTTCAATCATAGTTTTGTAAAAGTTGAAAAGATGTACCTAACAGACTTCTTAACAGATCGCCACACGGACTTTGTGAGCTCATAATTTCTCACGTAATTATAGTTAACCCACATTCTTTCCCCACTTCCTGTTCTGGATGATCCGAGCCCCTCTGTGACTCGCAGTCTATTTTCTGAGAGAGTCCTTGGCCTACTTTGTCCCTCCTCACCTCCACTGTGGAGGTGAGGAGGGACAGATCCATCTACCTATTTTAGCTGCAGGAAGATGTCTGTGGAGGGCTCAGTTAATGGGGCTTCGTGATGAAACGAGGTTCTGCTGTACATGGAAAGCCTTTTAGTTCAAAGTGACATTGGCACACTTTCATCACTGTAACACTTATTTGAATATTTAAAAGAGAGGACCCTGTTGAAGGAGATATTTCTGAAAAATGTTTGGGTGGAAAAAAGATGAAAGAACCCTTTTTCAACCTCAGCAATATAGTGATAGAAAATATGGTGAATGTTTTATGGGACTTGCCTCAGCATTGACACCCTGTGATTCTGCTTCAACCTAAAGAAGAGAAACTTTGTTAATGTCATTACAGGCCAAACCCCATCCCACCAAAACTCTTGCTCAGCATTAAATGAGCAAGCAGTGGTCCAACAGGTGGAGSATCTGTCATCCTGACTGCTCCGTCTCTGGGCTTTCCATCAACGTCTCCTCAGGTTCCTGGAAGCTCTTCYTAAAGAAACCTAAAAATATCATCCATCTTGTGTCCTAGCTGCTCTCCCATGTGCCCAAGTCATCTGTTACTTCCAGGAACTATCTTGATCAGAGGAAATGCTTTTGTGGTGAGAGACTTCATCTGACGGGCATGTTTAGGCTTTTTTCCCCCCTTTTGATTAATCTGTCTGACAACTGTGCTGCAGCYAGGACGGTGTGAGCCGTGGCTGAGTGCACGCAAACCGGAGAAAGAGGGATGATTTCGGCTGCAGTCGCTCTCAGAGCTCAGGTGTGACACACAGCACGAGGCAGGAGGTAATATTTAATGGCGGAAACGCCTCATTTGTGTCTCGCTCCAGAAAAGTCTGCATGAACAGAATCGCCTCTAACATGACACTAATTAAACCCTTGTTTCCCTGTGAATAATGTGTCATTTTTATACAATAAATGAGAAATATTTGCTCAGGCGTGGACTTGCTGAAATGTTTCAGTGACTTCTGAGATTTGTTACTGACAACATAAAGGCCACATTTACAAAATGAGAAATAACGTAAATAGATGTACTCAAATCAACGACACAAATGCACGACTTTAAAGGGGCAATATCATGTAAACATCAACTTTTTTGAGTTTTATATCATGTTATAATGTTATACTCTCATAAAAAAACATGCCCAAAGCCTTGCTTTGACTCATTCATGCATGTTTGAGAAATCCTGCAGTTTTTTTAGGAAGCCATGCAGAGGAGCAAAACGACAGGTGGGGACCAGAAACGCCTCTGGGGCGTGTCTTTAAGCCAAACTTCCTCATGGCGGAGCCCCCCCACACACACACACACCTCCCCACACACCCCGCCCGTGACTCCCGCAGGCTCTCGGGTGAAAGTGAAAGTGAAACTTTAACCGTCTGCTGAGCTCTCCACATTAAGTTCTCACTCATTCAAGCTCTTTTCAGATTAAAAATACCTTTGAGGAAATGTATTTTCAGATGCCAAGTAAACTGCATCATGACAGGCTTTGGGCTCCACAAGGAGCACCCGGACGCCACGAGGCTGTGTTTTCCTTAAAACTGGGCCACACGATGTAGGAAAAACAAGGACACACACACACACACACACAAATTCACACACACACAAACTCACATAACTACAAATCGACAGAGAGAGAAACTATAAAAAGATTCAAGACAAACTTCTGCTGTCACTTGGTTTCTGTTTCTTAAATAAAAGTGGGTGTTTGACATATTTGTGCTCAGCAGTCTATTGTTTTACATTTATTTCCTGCTAAATTTAAAGAAATTTAAAAAAAAAACAAATGTGTCTGGCACCAAACTTTTAATCAGTCTCGGTTAGTTTAATGAAGAAGTGTAGGACTTTTCCACATTAGGACAAAATATTAGAACGTGGACACTATTTGTGCATTTCTAATTGTAATTTTGGCTGCTGTTATACCTGGGTTGTAAAGCTTTTTATTTATTTATAACTGTATTTTAGGAAGAAAAAAAGACTTCTGGAAAGGACACCGTTCATTTAAATGCCAAAAACAGTCTTACACAGTTTCTGTCCTTCTCATTAACTTTACAAAACTCAACCATGTGCTTCATCTTTTGACTGCAAGGTCTAGAGCCTGTTTAGTTTTGGTTTAACCCTGACAACAATATGTAAAGTGCAAACAGTTTGTGTTTATGTCGCACAGATCTGATGGGGTCGAGACCTCTGAGCTGAGACCGAAGCTGCTTTTCATCCTCTGCCGTCGTATCGTAGCAACGAGCAGCTGAATGAAGCTGACAAGGGTCCAGGGGAACACAAGAGCTGCATCTGCTGCTGCTGATCGCCCACTCTTCCCCACTGTCACCCACGCTCCCCCCKCCACCACCACCACCACCCCAATGCTGCGTCATCAAGACACAAAACTCACACTTCTGACTCACATAGCGACAGCTCCACACAAGTGCCCACAGCTCGATTGAAAAGTTTTTTTTTTTCACTCCGTCGTTTCTATTTTTGGTCATCTGAAGAGTCTCATCAGTGGGTTTGCCCTTTAAAGATGATCGCTTTGTGATGCGGAGTAAATTGTAGCCATAAGTG